TGCCTGGCTAATTTTTATATTTTTGTAGAGACAAGATTTCACTGTGTTGGTCAGGCTGGTGTTGAACTCCTGATCTCAGGTGATCCACCCGCCTTGGACTCCCAAAGTGCTGGGATTACAGGTGTGAGCCACCACGCCCAGCCTCTGATTTATGTTCTAAATTGACCACTCTGGCTGCTCAGCTGAGAATAGACTACAGAGGGGGCAAGAGTAGAAGCAAATAAACTAGTTAGAAGGGTCTTGTGGCTATGAAGGTAAAAGATATCCATGACTCAGCAGCAGTGCTTTGAAGAGGGTGAGACATGGTGGGATTCTGGGCATATTTTGAAGTCAGAGTCAATAGTGATCTTCTCATGGTTTGGGTATGGGTGTGAGAGTAAGAGGAGAGGAAGAAGAACCAAGGATGTGGATCACCTGAGGTCAGGAGTTCAAGACCAGCCTGACCAATATGATGAAACCCCGTGTCTACTAAAAATACAAAAATTAGCTAGGCATGGTAGCGCATGCCTGTAATCCCAGCTACTTGGGAGGCTGAGGCAGGAGAATCACTTGAACCTGGAAGGCAGAGGTTGCGGTGAGCCGAGATTGTGCCATTGCACTACAGCCTGGGTGATAGAGTGAAGCTCCGTCTCAAAAAAAAAAAAAAAAAAAAAAAGAACCAAGGATGATCCCAAGAACTTTCACCTGTGTGGGTAACAGAGTTTGAATATACGTCCCTGAGAAATTTCATGTCAAATTGTCAAATGTTGGAGGTGGGGCCTGGCAGGAGGTGACTGGAACATGGGGTATAGGTCTCATGAATGGTTTAGCACCATTCCCTTGGTACTGTCCTTGTGAAAGTGAGTTCTTGTGAGATGTGGTCATTTAAAAGTGTGTGGCACCTCCTCTCCAACTCTTGGTCTTACTCTCATTCTTACCATGTAAGATGCTTAGTCCCCCTTCACTTTCCTCTATCAGTAAAAGCTCCCTGAGGCTTTCACAGAAGCCATGCAGATGCCAGTGTAATGCTTCCTGTACAGCCAGCAGAACTGTGAGTCAATTAAACTTCTTTTCTTTATAAATAACCCAGCCTCAGGTATTTTATAGCAATGCAAGAACGGCCTCACATAGTGGGTGATGCAAGAGGTAGTGGGTGCTGCTGGATTGAGAGTTCAGTTTGTTGAAATCATCCAGGTAAGAAGGTGTAAATCAAGACGTTGAAAGTAGGGACTTGGCTGGGCATGGTGACTCACACCTGTAATCCCAGCACTTTGGGAAGCTGAGGCGGGTGGATCACTTGAGGTCAAGAGATCGAGACCATCCTGGCCAACATGGGGAAACCCCGTCTCTACTAAAAATACACACACAAAAAAAATAAATAAAAAAATTAGCTGGGCGTGGTGGTGTGTGCCTGTAGTCCCAGCTACTTCAGAGGCTGAGGCATGAGAATCGTTTGAACCTGGGAGGCAGAGGTTGCAGTGAGCCGAGATCACAGTGAGCCGACTGTACTCCAGCCTGGGCGGTACAGTGAGGAAAGAAAGAGAGAAAGAGAGAGAGAGAGAGAAAGAGAAAGAGAGAAAGAAGAAAGGAGGGAAGGAAGGAAGGAAGGAAAGACTCAAGAGGACAGAATTGAGAGATATTTAGAAAACATAGAGAATTTATTAATTTTTAAAGGTGGGAACTGAGGAAAGGGAAGAGTCTAAAATTACCCCCCAGCTTCCAGCCTAGGGAACTGGATAGATAGAAGTATCATTCATTGAAGTAGAGAATATAACATAAGAAGGTCATTGTTGATGGTTTCAGATGCTGAATCTGATGCCAATGAGGCAGGCAGTTAGCAGGCAATCGGCATGATTACTTGCAGGCAACTAAAAGCAATGCAAACGAGGCCAAACAGGTTAGCACAAAGACCCACCCCCTAGTAGAAAGGAACTGCTCTAACAGGCTTAACAATAAAGACAGATTGCACACATCCTGCTTTAGGCACAGAAAAGAATGTAACAAAGAAGAAACCAGCTGAAACTGGTTAAATCCAAGATGGCCAAAAATGTGACCAGCTGTCAACCCTTGGCTTCATTATGTCCCTATTACCATAAAATTTCCATGGGGAAACCTCCCACTCCCATCATGCACCTGACACTATGATAGTTTCAGATGAACCATATTTAGTCAAGAAAAGTCCTGATTCAGGGAATTGCATGCCTATTTCCCAGAAAACTCTTCCCTTATTATAGAATATTTTGTGCCTTCATTATGCTTTTCCATATAGTATGTGAGCCCTCCATGTTGGGCGTGGCTTGTTCTTTTTAGCATGCCGGCATTCCTCTCTTGAGTGTGTGCATAAAGCTTACATACTATCACTTTGGTCTTGCTTTCAAATTCTTTTGTGTGGCAAAGACAAGAACCTGTACTGGCTCCTGGCAAGACCAGGACTTGGGAGGATTCTCCACTGTGTGCAGCTAGAGCTGGAGTCACTTAATGGGATAGCCAGGCATCTCCTTGTTAAATAGAGATCACCTAAAACAGTAACACAGAAACTGTGCTTTCTACAGTCTCTGCTCAAAGACCCAGGCTCTGTACAAAATAGAATACTGGGTTCTGCCCCATGATCAAAGTATTCTTACTATCCCTTACTTCCTGGCAACCATTCTTCACACAGAGGGGCCAGCAATTCCCAGAGGATAAATAGACAGGAGGGAGAACAGGGCTGGTGGAGAATGTTGTGAGGGCATGATAGGTGGTGAAGAGAGGAAGGACAATGGGGAGGTGGAAGATGTTTTTAAAAATCTGGTAGTACTGCATTCTGAGATTGTATTCTATGCCGTTTACTACGGATTCAGAGATTGAAACAAACAGAAAGTGATCAGGAGAAAAGATGTTACCTTTCTATAGCAAAAGTAAACTCCTAGGACCTAGACTGGGATCTGTGTAGCTTACCCTGCCCTGAACTGGAATCCTAAGAAGCGTACATCATACAAAGGGAAAGACAGGGGTATCACAGATAATTTGCACATGCCATTTGTTGGCAAACATTGAGTTTGAACTGATCCCATGTTGCCTGAAGGTAAATAAAGAAGAAAAAAAGGTCTATATAAAACTACAGAGCAAAGAATGGAATAGTATGGAAAAAGAAGAAGAAGGAGAAGGAGAAGGAGAAGGAGAAGGGGAAGGGGAAGAGGAAGGGGAAATAGAATAAGAAAAAACTGAAAATGATCCATTACCAGACCTAGGAAAAACATGGAGGAACCTGTTTGGCATTATCAATAGGATAGTTTCTGTGAAACTGTAGCAGAAAAACAGGCCGAAATAAAAAAGCAATAGGATGCATTGAAAAAAGAAAGGATAAAATGAGAAATGGTCGTTAGGAAATTAAAAATTCAACGGCATAATTAAAGTCTTCATTGCAAGCCTAAGAAGCAGAAGCAATATTACACACTATTAAATTAGTATTGGTGAGGGTGAACCTGAAAAGCTCTCCTACAATGTAGAGAAAAAAAGCCAACGGGATGAAAGCAACACATGAGAACGTAATAGATACGGGGCACGGGGACCCCATCCAACTGACTATTGCTCCCAGAGGAGAGACCAGATCTGACGAGCGAAACCGTATCACAGAAGGACCATTTCCTGAGCAGAAGAAAGACTACGTGTATAGATTGCGAGGGCTCACTGCATCCCACTAAATGAACTTAAATCCTTTAGGTACATTTAATACTTCTGAATCAAGAAACTGAAGAGGGGCAAAAGGACAAGCCAAAAGGAGAAAGTTCAATAGAACAATTCCACAGGCAAAATGAAAGGCTCAGATAACTATAGGAACACATGATGTCCAAGAATTAGGTGGATCACGATTTCAGTTTAATTGTGCAAATTCATGAAATTTCACCACCTTAATGAGAGGCTGGCTCTGCTGCTGGAGAAGAGAAAATAGAAAGGGGTCATCGAGGAGGCAGTATTTGATGGGCGTGAGCAGAGGCGAAGCAGCTGCAAGAGTTGGCCCCAACTCCCAAGGGAAGATGAGCAAATTGACTGAAATAAACCTGTTCCATTTGGAGGAGTAAACAGAAAAACATAACAAGGACAGGATGACAGGGGCCTTCTTTCTTTTTTTTTTTTTTTTTTTTTTTTTTTTTTTTTGAGACAGAGTCTCACTCTGTCATCGAGGCTAGAGTGCAGTGGCGTGATCTTGGCTTACTGCAATCTCTACCTCCCGGGTTCAAGTGATTCTCCTGTCTCAGCTTCCTGAGTAGCTGGAACTACGGGCACCCGCCACCATGCCCAGAAAATGTTTGTATTTTTAGTAGAGATGGGGTTTCATCATGTTGGCCAGGATGGTCTCAATCTTCTGACCTCAGGATCCGCCTGCCTTGGCCTCCCACAAAGTTGGGATTACAGGTGTGAGCCACTGCACCCAGCCGAAAGGCACCTTCTTTCAACGGCCAACTAGTCAGATAGAGATAGATAACCACTTAGAGATGCATGAAATGAGACAGGACTTTTTGAAAAACTGAGGTTCCAATGGCTCTTTGACAAATAACGGAGTAAGCCAAAACAAACAAAAATGATATAACCCTGCAGCCATTTCCCATTTCCTTTCACCATTCATTTCTTTTGGTTTTGAGGACGGAAGGGAAGTGAATTGGAGAGGAAAAGGAAGAAATTGCAAAGAGGAAGAGGGAAGAGGTGCTTCAGGGGATTCCAGCAGCAATGAGAGAGGGTGGATCAGACCTGAGTGGGGGATATGCACTTCTGCTGGGGAACTCAGCCTGAACTTTTGGTACTGTTTCTGGTGGTAAGGATACTGTTACTATGGATAAGAATAAACTTGAAAAGCTCTCCTACAATGTAGAGAAAAAAGGGATGAAAGCAATACATGAGAACATAATAGACACTGATGACATGGGAGTCCCTGGAAAACCATAAATATTTTTCAGATCTTGATTGTGATCCCTCCAGTTCACTGGAAAAGGCTGCTTCGGCTCCAACTCCCCTGCAGGTGGAGGGAGTGGGACATTGCTCACCTGGGCGGAGGTGCTGTGCAGCTTCAGCAGCCCATTCTCCAGCCGCTCTGTCTTGCACTTGAGCTCTTTTCTGTGCCTGTGCAACAAGCTCTGGTAGAGTTTGATGAACTCCAGAAAGGACTTGGGAGTTGTGTAGTTGTAGCGCTGTTCATTGTTCAGATAAGACTGGGATGTTTGGTTGACACTTGTGTGGACAAAGGCCATGAACTTGCTAATTGACTGCTTTACTGTGGGCTAAAACCAAAGAGCAAGAAATGAAAAGATTATCTCCTGTTGAAGATTAGAGGCTCACCCCTCACCCCACCCATTCCTCCACCATGTGGAAACCTATGCTCCAAGCTTGATCTTTAACCCTGACATTCTGGACATGGAGTTCGTTGTACCCTCATCTGGGAAGGACCTTTAGGAGTGTCTCCTTTTCCCTCTCACCTCAATGCCCTCTGTGTTCTGCAAGAAGCGGAGGCTGACAGACTCCAATGCTTGCTGAGGCCACTCGTGGAACCAGTGGATGGCTGTGCAGTTCACAATGGCTGGGAACTTCCTGCTGCGGACTCTTAGCTTGTTCCCCACAGGGGAGAAACAGAGAGTCACCTGAGAAGTCAGAAGGGTGGGGAGAACCAGGAAGGCATCAGAGAAATACTCACAGAGAGGCAGAGATGGCCTTGGGTTCTCTAGCTCCCGGAAGATTGGGAAGTACATCCAACAGAGACAATATCTGTAAATGCTAGCCAGCCTCACCAGCCAAGAGATCAAAAATGCTGAGACTGCATGATCCACACGGGATGCTGCTGCCCTTAAAGCAGATGAGAAGGGTGTCCTGGCAACTGTGCTCAGGCTGAGAAGGGTGCCGCACACTCACCACCCACTCTAGACAATCAGTAAGAACAGTTGTGCCCGAAATATCAATGGAAGCTCCCATGAATCATCTCGGGTCTCTGCCTGCCCCTGTCAGTAAAGGCTCTTTACCTTCAGCTGTCGCTGGACCCGATCTATAAAGAACTTCCAACAGTTCTCTCTGTTGTCAACCAGACCCTGGCTCTTGACTTCATTCCTCACATTGCTTATGATGTTTTCGACTTCATCATCAGAGTAGAGATCTGGTATCTCCCCTGGGAAAAAATGGAGCACAGATAGGCAGCCTTGGCATCTCACTAAATGACGCAATCAGACATGGGAAGTTATCCTACCTTGGGACACAGGTCAGTGGTTTTTAGGCCACGTACCAACTCTTTTGCTGGTGAAGCTGGACAGACACCATGTCTACTCCAAACCCAGGGCAGGAGAATGAGTATGTTAAAGATTGGAACAGAGGGTAGGGTACCCTCTTGTCCTGAGGTGGACAGTTGGTAGCACAAGAGCCTTCAACTGTCTTCTCTTCTTTTGCTCAAAGCATTTATTTCCTAACTACTATTTTGCCCTTTTTGTATTGTGCCCTCCAGGAGTTTAATATTTAGCAGGAAACATGGCTAATAGGATCAAAAATAGCTATAAGACCCCCAGTAAAAAGGGCCATAACAAACATACAGATAGGTCCATATATTTAACAAGAGCAAGCTATCACTGTTTATGAGAGAAAATGGGGAGAAAGTAGAATGGCTTCATGGTATTTAGTACACGATAGGCAGCACGCCTTAAATCGACGGGGAAAAGATGAACTATTCAATATATGGTACTACATTGGGAAAACTGGGATCTGAAAAGATTATGGTTAGATCTTGATCTTTATTTTTATTCTTTTTTTTTTTTTGAGATAGAGTTTTGCTCTTGTTGCCCAGGCTGGAGTACAGTGGTTCAATCTCAGCTCACTGCAACCTCCGCCTCACAGGTTCAAGTGATTCTCCTGCCTCAGCCTCCCGAGTAGCTGGGATTACACGCACACGCCACCACGCCTGGCTAATTTTTTTGTATTTTTGTAGAGACAGGATTTCACCATGTTTGGCCAGGCTGGTCTCGAACTCCCGACCTCAGGTGATCCACCCGCCTCGGCCTCCCAAAGTGCTGGGATTACAGGCATGAGCTACCGCGCCTGGCCAGATCTTGATCTTATACAGCACACTAGAGTAAATGCCAACTGGATCAATGATTTAACTAAAAAAAGGCAGGAAAATAAAAGAAAAAATGGGGAAAATAATCTCTGAGTGGGGAAGGATTTTCTAACTGTATCTGAATCAACCTGTGTTAAAAGAAAAATAAATTTCATGAATGTATAAAAATTGACCAATCTGACTGCAGAAAAATAAAAATATTTCATGACAAAAATATCACAGGCAAAGTATAGCAATAAGAGCAAAACACAAAGAATAAACTAAGAAAATATGTTATAGTAAAATGGTTAATCTTAATATGTAAAGAAATTCTCTACAAATAAAGAAAAAATCAATAATTCAATAGATAGATGAGGTGAAGGATATGAAAAGAAAGTTCACGGTGAAGGAAATAAAAATTTCTGTTTAACATTAATAGATGCTTCACCTCACTCATAATAACAGAAATAAACATCAAAACTACACTTAGTTACTTTTTGTTTGTACAAATGAGGTTAATGAACAAGGACAGTCAATCTCACTCGTAATGAAAATGTATATTAAAACTACACCTTATTATTATTATTTTTTTTTACCAGATTGGCAAAAAATCTGAAAGTTAAATGAAAACACTGTATTAATGATGCAGTATGTGAGAGTAAAATTATATGCTTAATCTCCCTGATGAATAACAATTTTTAAAATCCCAACTAAATATGTATAAATTAGTATATGATGACCAAGTGTAAACCCTGTCCTAGAAATGCAAGGAGAAATACTAGAAAAAAACTATGAAAATAATTTACTACATTAATTGATTAACAAAGTAAAACAATATGACATTGAAATGGATGCGTAAGGTTTCTAAAAACTGCTAGCAAACTAGCAATAAATGAGTTTTCTCTTTAATAATAGATATCACCCCCAAACCTACAGCAAACATACCTAATAGTAAAATAAAATATTCTCTTTCAAATCAAGAATATGACAAATATGTCTGCTATGGTGTTTTCTAGTCATCATTATATAGGAGGCTCCAAATTGTGCAAAAAGTGAAGAAAAAAATAAAATGTGTAAGGATAGTTAAGGATGTAATAAAACTATTACTGTTCAAAATCTAATTTTCTACTTAGAAAAACTAAGAGAATATTCACGTAAACAACCAGAACTCATAAGAGCATTTAACAACAAGCTTGTTGGATAGAAAATTAATACTGGAAAGTAAATCACATTTTGTACCTCAGCAAAAACAAATTGTTAATTGAAAAGTTATCAATTAAAACACCAAAAAAAAAAAACCCTCACAGAGCAGGTAAGTAATAAATATACAAAGGGACGAGCCAGATCTTCATGTGAAAGCTACATCATACTATTGAAGGGAATAAATGAAACCAGAAATAAATGGAGAGAAATACTGAGTTCATGGAGGGATGATGAGGTATCACCGCTTTCCCAAAAATGCAATTTCAATAGGAAATCAAATGGGTTTCTTTCTTAATTCTGACAAATATTTCCTAAAATTGATACAGAAAAGCAAAGGATGAAAAATGGCATTGTTGAGAAAGAACCAGAAAGAGTGATTTGTTCCACCAGAAATCAAGTCTCCTTATGAAGCTATCTTAGTTAAAACAATGTGAAATTGACGCTGGGGTGAATAAATAGAACAATGAGTAAAACACCTAGAAATGGATCCAGATATAAACAGGAAATTGATATGAAAAATCAGGAGGCAGGGACTTTGGGAGGCCAAGGCAGGCAGATCAGGAGGTCAGGAGTTCAAGACCAGCTTGGCCAATATAGTGAAACCCTGTCTCTACTAAAAACGCAAAAATTAACTGGTCGTGGTGGTAGGCGCCTGTAGTCTCAGCTACTCAGGAGGCTGAGGCAGGAGAATCGCTTGAACCCGGGAGGCAGAGGTTGCAGTGAGCTGAGATTGCGCCACTGCACTCCAGGCTGGGCTATAGAGACTCTGTCTCAAAAAAAAAAAAAAAAAAAATCACGAGGCAGACAAGGGCTGGACTAATTAATAAGTTATGTTAAGATAATTCAATATTGATATAAAAATATAATTAGATTACTATGTAAAAGTAATTTCCAGGTGAATAAAGACATACATATGAAAAGTAAAACAGTGATAATTGAAAAACCACAGGCAATTATTTTATGGCATTGGGATAAAACAACATTTGTGAAACAGAGCACAAAAAGCACAGAAAAAAGACGATTACAATATTAAAACTTAATTGGCACAACAAAAGTCAGATATAGACTTCCAAATGATATTTACAGTCCATATAATGAACAAAAAAATCTAAATATCAAAAACATGTAAAGAATGTCTGAACTTCATAAGAAAAAGACAAAAAGCAAAAGATCCAAAGTGCAAACTGTATAAATAGGCAACACATAGAAGAGAAGCAGTAAGGCCAGGTGCTGTGGCTCACGCCTGTAATCCCAGCACTTTGGGAGGCCGAGGCAGGTGGATCATCTGAGGTCGGGAGTTCGAGACCAGCCTGACCAACATGGAGAAATCCCGTCTCTACTAAAAATACAAAAAATTAGCCAAGCAAGGTGGTGCATGCCTGTAATCCCAGCTACTCAGGAGGCTGAAGCAGGAGAATCACTTGAACCTGGGAGGCAGAGGTTGCAGTGAGCCAAGATCGCGCCATTGCACACTCCAGCCTGGGCAACAAGAGAGAAACTCCGTATCAAAAAAAAAAAAAAAAGAAGAAGAGAAGCAGTAAGAGCCAATAAACGCTTGAAATGATGCTCAGTGTCACCAGTGAAAAGGGAAAGGAAAATAATAGGATTTAATTTCATGCTTACTGGCAAAAATTAATATGTCAGCTAAGCCAAATATTGATGAGGTTAGACAGAAACAAGTGTTCATGCACTACTGGCCAGAGACAAGTGTATGACTACTGTGGAGAACAATTTGGCACTTTTTGGTAAAGTTGAAATGTACACATCAGACAAACTAGTAATCTAGGTATTGGACACCTTTTGGAAAGAAACCCTTGCAGATGCACAATAAAATTTTCTATTTTGCATCATTATTCATAATTACACAAGTGTTTGTTTTATTGTGTTTAGAATGTCCAAATTATTTTGTAAGGAAATAGGAAATACAAAAAAACACAACGGGAAAATGTGAAAACCGTAAATTTTATTCTTTTGAGAATTTTGTCTGGGGAAGGTTCTAGGATTGTTGTTTGGCTGTCACTTCAAGTCAAAGAAAATTAATTTAAAAACGTTCAGGATGGAGATAATGGGCTATGTTTGAAAGTGGAGAAGAGGGAGAGTCAGAAATTGAAAGAAAAGATGGAATAGAGAAAAATTCTGAATTAGGAACTAGGGGTGGGCTCCTAGCTCAGACAAAAAGTTGGCCTTGGAAAGGAGGAATGGTAATACTGGAGGAAAAGAGAAAACTGCAAAATAATAATAATAATAATGGAGACAGACTGTGAGGTATAAAGTAGCTGTGAGGTCCAAACTAAATGACATCAGTTTTCTCAATGAAAAAGATGAGATTGAGGGAGGTAAGAACGAAGGAAATACTATAGCTAAAAAGTTGCAAACACTGGATATGATGTCAAGGTGAATGTGGTTCACTCCAGGAAAGCAATGGGTATCAGAAAAGCAAAATGTTCCCATTTCTAGAACAAGTCTTTAGGTAGCTGTTGAAGTTATCTGGGACTGGAATCATATACAAGTTCTTCTTTAATGTGGTCTATTTTTCACCAACATGATGCTTTTGTAAAAATTTTTTTTAAAGCTGTTCACACATGCTTTTTCCTTCTTCTGTAACTGACAGAAATGTTAGCATCACAGGAGTGTTAGCGATGAAAGAAGTCATTGGGACCATGTTACATCCCACTTTCTTTTTTCTTTTTTTTTAAATTTATTTTTATTTTATTTTTTTTTTTTTAATATTTTTAGTAGAGACAGGGTTTCACCGTGTTAGCCGGGATGGTCTCGATCTCTTGACCTCGTGATCCGCCCGTCTCGGCCTCCCAAAGTGCTGGGATTACAGGCGTGAGCCACCGCGCCCGGCCGTCTTTTTTTTTTAAGACAGACTCTTGCTC